CCTCCGATGTTAATAGGCGGCTCGACCTAGCGCCGTTGGATGCCGTGAGATGATGTATTCATCTGGGCGTGACGAACGTTTACAGCCGTAGATGGAGGAACCGCGGTGCGACGAGTGTCGTCGATGTGTGGAATTGTGGACGGTAGGATGCATGCCAGGTGGAGGACAAATCCGTGCGTCACATGATTTAGGCCGTACAGGTCGGTGACTGTCAACGGCATCCCGGGTGAACACGTTGCATAATTCAACGTGTGATGGGAGCGTGGGTGGTGCAGTATCGTCGATGCACCCAGGCGTGGACGGTGGGATATCGATATGCATGGGTAGAACAAGGGTCGAATGTAAAATTAAAGCCGTACACGTGGTCACATTTCAACGTCATCTGGCGCGTACACGTAAGGGGTCAGCCAGAAGCAGACTGGAATTTCAACGAATAAGGCGCAAGCGTGTGTCACAAATGGTGCATCGGCATTGGGTACGAACTCTAAAAATGAAGGGCGCGGATACAATGTTGTGTTGATCCCCGTCGTTCACGTGCAGGCAGGTGATTGGGGGGTGCGATGATCCGGAGCGCACAGTAGACTGTTGAAACTTGATGGTCGACACGCTGACCTAATGCTAGCCAGATGTCGGGTCGACGTTAAAAGCAGACAAATTGTGACATTTGTCGGATTGCACATTGGCATCCAGCGGGGTTACGAACGCGTGACGTGCACGTGACATAGCCGTAACATTTCCGTCACGTTGAAAGTGACGTTAGTGTGATGTCAACGTGACATTTTCATGACCTTTTGGTCAATTTGTATGTGACGGAAAACCTGGTACTTCCAACCATCACATTTTTATCCCAGCATTCCGTATACGTAATAGTGGCGGGAAAGTCACAATTACGTCACTTTCGGCACTTGTCTTTTCCGCGATGTGATATGGGGTGTCTGTCTTTGGCTGTCCGTGTTTGGCTGCGTGAATGACTGACCGACCGTCTCCTACGTCGCTGAAAGAATGAACATCGCCATAGCCATGGCGGGTGAGGAATGCGGGCGAGGGGAAAGTAGCAAGAGCAGCCAATGGGGGGAGTCGGCAGCACGAGGCTTTGGCGGAGAAGGGGCAACTGCGGGTCCAAGGGGAAAGGGGGGATGGGGATGTTCGGCGGAACGGAACTATTGGGGGAATCCGTGGTGTAGCGGTGCATTGCATTTGGTGCCTCGAGTTTTCATTGATGACTAGGCGACAACGACACGAATTTTGCTCTGACGCACAAAAAACAGTCGTCATTCGCAAGCAGGGAAGTCGAACAATCCCACGGTGACGAGGGTCTTGGCTGAAGCAATATCCGAGACACGAATGTTGACGTGGAAAGTTCTGTGTATGAATCAGCTAATATGGAACTGCTTCTTGTAAGTGGTTGGTCTTTGACGAGGCTGCGTGGCGCCTTATCAGTCATTTGCCTGGAAATCAAGGAAGGACTCCCATTGGTTAGACCACGTCAGATCTACCCCATCACGAGGTTCTGAGAACACCCGTCACAAAGCGATCCAGTTTGAGTTCGTCCCTAGAAACTGTACTGCCTACAAGACTAGTCATAATTGTTGGTTGCAGCATCCCCCAAACGATGAACTAGGCACTCGTTGGCATGAAGTAAATCCATTTTAAAATGGAAGACACAAATGACTATGATACATCCGTTTTGGCTGACGCTTTGCTCTTGATAGCCCTTCCCTCTTGCCCCACAACTGCCGCAAGCTCTCGAAGCTTCTTCGTTAGGTCTTGATTTCGATGTGCTGTCACGGTGTGGGTTGAGATTGCAGGAAGTTGATGGATAGAGTGAGTGAGCCAAGTGGGAGGAAAATGCGGGTGAGATGCGGATTGCAGGAGAACTGCCTCAACAAGTAACTGTCATGTTATCAATGTCTGACCTGAAAGAATGATGTCGTCTGGTTCCACTCTCTTCCTCTTGGCATGCCGTGCAAACAACTGCACATCCCGAGCCAGTTGTTCTGCAGCGAGGTAAAGGAAAGCACGGTGTTGTTGGGTTGGTACTTCAGAGGATGTCCGCACTGATCAACTAAGCTATTATGCGTAATCATAGCAATTCGAGCACTAGGAGCTTTAACTCCACAAATGAGATGCATTAGATACTAAACACCCATCTGGCACTACTCATCATCATACACCAAGCGCTCACCTGCATACGTCAGGGTCAGGTGCACGAGCGCCTGCATGACGTCATCGTGGATGGACATCCCTGCCGACCGAGCTGAAGAGAACGAGACGATAGGACCGTGGGGAAAATGGGAATATGAGTCGCCTAAGTGTGTCCCCGTTGTATGCGTCAATGGCTGATTCAAAGTAGTTATGAGACGGATATGGGTTGGAATGGAGACAGAGAAGCACTTTGCCAGACGGTACTGGGATTCCGTGTGACAGGATCAGATAAAATCCTCCCCTTTCGGTCTCACAAAAGATACTCACCTACCCGTCTCCTCCGCTATCATCACCACAGCTGCTGCCATGCGTTGTTCCGCTGCCTTCCTTTCAGTCTCATCCCGAACGCCTTCGTGCGGATCGTTTCTCTGTTCGCTCGGTTTCTCGAAACCTGTTTCGTTTCCATGACTCCTGATATTCCGGTCTTCCAAAGGCCTTTTGGAATGATATCCACCGGACCCGTCTGACTCATTTCTCCCAAGTCCAAAAGCTCCCGCTCTTTCTGGCTGTGCTGTATCTCCTCCCTCAAGGCGACGGTGACTAACCTCCCTCGCCATGAAACAGTCTTCAGAGTTTTTGTGCTCTGGTTCCTAGATTTGCTCATTGTGTATTTCCGTTCAAACATTGCACTGATTCTAAGTCCGAGCACAAATGAAGGACGTAACGTGGATTCTGTCCATATATCCTTACCGAAGCACACTTTGTTGAAGTTTCGCTGGTTTGTTGGTTCAGGAGGTTGGGTTCAGGCAGTTACCGAGGCGGTGTTTTTTTCAGGTGGAACATTTGTTTTCGCAGCAGGTTAGTTGCCGACATGGTGCCGCGATTTGGCAACGTTGCGACTCCGGAAGAACTTCGTCTTCATCTGTGATTGGTTCTGTGATCGTTGATGACACACAATTTCGCAAGATCACTAATGGCTCAATCTCACGGTTACGAATCCCACCGCGCGACAAGTAGCTGAAGTGGAGATCCCATGTGGCAGCGCGACGAACCAGCAAGAGTCAACCGAACTGCCTATAAGCCGAGCCTCGATGTTCCCTGAGTGACACTGAAAGGCGAAACTGGTGAGAGCAGCTTCGGTTCCGAACATTTTCCATTTGATTGAGCTTCCATACCACCCCACCAGTTCGTTCCGAGCCTCCCCGGTTACGTCCCAACCTAATCCCTTGAATCCTCCTGCCAGATGCCATTCATTCCCACCAACCCACCAACCAACTTTCAATTCAGTCAGCCATGGATCCTTTGTCTATGGTGGCTAGAAGGAATGTCTATTTTTTTACAGTGGCTTCATGTGATGTTGGTTTGTTGAGGCGCTCTTATGCATTGGTCTAAGTTTTCACGTGCTGAAGCTTCTGGTGTTTCTGTCACTGGTCGGCATGATCCGTGAAGCCATTGCTATTTCCTAAGCCATTGCATCCTTCGTTGTGACTTGGGCTTGGAATCCATTGTGACATAGTCTGCTTGTTCCCATGAGCGCGTACGCGCGTTTTTTAGTCACCATCCATCATATACCTTTTGGAACCAGCGTGATAGACTAGCAACTGAACGTGTCATTCTTATGTATAGAGGCAACAGGCTGCGATCATTCCTGTGGATCAACTTCGTACGTCGAGATTCCCCTCTATCTTCCGTTTACTGATCGACCCCATTGCCGAACCAACCATCTGCACCTCACCTGCTTGGACGTTTTCGCAAGGCGATAAACATCCAGGAAAGAATCGTGATTCCTTTTAAACATCTCCACCTTGATCAAGACCCACTGACCTGCAACCCTAATTGCTCATTGCTCAAAGCTCACAGCGCAAAGCTCACAGCTCACAGCTTGCCGCTTGCAGCTCACAGTTGATGACAATGGATGACAAAAAGAACAGAAAGCGAGGTCCTCGGCATCGCCGAGGTGTTCTGATTCTCGTGCTGCTTCTCGTCGGTGTCGCTGCGTTCTTGGGCTTCGCGTTCAGCTCCTCATCCAAGTACAGCAACCGGAATGGCGTTCACCAATCGGACGGGTATGATAACCGTGCCCCTTTTCCGCAGGATCCACCCTTCTTTTTAGAATGTTTTATAAGATTACAAAGTGTGTTTCTGGGCTTCGCGTTCAGCTCCTCTTTCAAGTACAGCTAACGTCAACCCATCTTACAGATTCCACAATGCTTTTCAAAATGCTCTAAATTCTCGATACCTTCGTTTCTTTCCACTATTGATCTTGTTCCCATTATCTGCTCTGATCTTCCTGTTCCCCTTCTTTCTTCCGTACTGTGTTATTGTCCTGTGTAATGGCAGCGTTATCGGTCAAGCGGCATCAGGTGCGTAGTAGTAAAACTTCATTCTGGCCTTATTTCCGTTTTCCGGAAGCTCTAACGAGTGAAAATAAGCAGATTTTTTTAAGGGAAATTATGGATCAGATTGCTCACGTAAAGTTGCTCGCTCAAAGTCACACAATGTCGATGTTTCGCTGTGGACTGACAGAAATACTGCGAAATCGTCAAAACTGTTGAAACGATCAAGCAACGAGCTGCGCATGTGGATGTTCCGATCTGTTCGTGTACGGTTCCACTCTACACAACAGTCTCGCTCATTAGCATGCTCGCATCTAATATAGCGGAGATTCTGCGAGCAAATGATCCCGCGACCGAGAGTATACGGGATGCTCACTTCCCGTGGACTTCAAACTTTTCCTCATTTGGCGTAGGTGTCCTGCTGCTTCCTAGGAAGCGTGGGTACATGGTCGCTCAGCAGAAACCGTGTAGGTTGATTAGGGTTTCAAACGTTTGTACACGAGCAGATCGCACATCTGAATGGGTTTTGTTCTGATCCTTACTTTCCTCGTGTTTTCCTCCTTCATTTTTGTCCCATTTCATCGTGTCCGCCGATCTGCCACGTGTACAGAAGGAGGGAGCGGGTGGAGCCTGCTGGGGCAGGGCATGCTAGAGGCGGTGGGGAAGGTGCTCAGCTTCGAGGAGCGGCAGAAGGTGTCGGAAGATCTCAAGGAATCCGGCGACGACGACCACGAGGTGAGCGTCTGCAGTGCGGTGTAGTGCGGTGTAGTGCTGTGTAATGCTGTGTAGTGCGGTGAGCTTTGAAACGATGACAAGCAATCATGGTCGTGAGGTGGGCTGACAAGCAATGATGATCGTGAGGTGAGCTTTGAAACGATGATAGGCGACCACATTCGTGATCAAGCGATTTCGACAGCGCTTACCCGTTGCGTCTCTCCCAGTGACTGCCTTAGCCACGAAACCGATGGAGCAAATGAATGAAAACAATCTGACCATTTTCCTGCTCGATTCTACGACCTGCTGGCTTTTTCCTTGTTATCTCACAAACGCATCAGTCCTGCAGCTTTACTTGTTCCCCTCATTCCCCTCCACTCCCCTTTCCCCGTTGACTTGGCGCACTTACTAATCGTAGCCACGGTCCCCCCCAGAAAGCGCAAGGGCCACAGGCGACATGGCAGCAGCAGCGGCAGCAGCAGCTCTAAAACCCATCCGTCTTATAGCTCACTCGTTCTTACCCATCTCCCCTCATTTCCCCCTTCCCCTGACCCACTTACAGGCCGAGGCGATTGTAGCAACCGCCCCCCCAGGCAGCACGCGAGCCACAGGCGACATGGCAGCAGCAGCTGCTGCAGCAGCCCTAAAACCCCGCGGAGGGGGCAGCTCCAGCAGCACAGCAGCCGCCGCAGCAGACAACAACCCTCTGAAGAACAAGACCATGGCGGAGCTGAGCGCGCTGGCCCATCTCCCTTCATTCCCCTCCGCTCCCCTTTCCTCCTCTACCCTCCCCTCCCCTCCCTCCCCTCCCCTTCCTCCCCTCCCCTACCCCCCCCTCCCCTCCCTCCCCTCCCCTTCCCCCCTTCCTTTAACGCTCTTCAGGCCGAGGCGGTTGTAGCCACAGCTCCCCCCGGCAGCGCAAGAGCCACAGGCGACATGGCAGCAGCAGCGGCCGCAGCAGCTCTAAAACCCCGCGGAGGGGGCAGCTCGAGCAGCACAGCAGCCGGCGCTGCAGACGACAACCCTCTGAAGAACAAGACCATGGCGGAGCTGAGCGCGCTAGCTGTGGGTGTGACTGTAGAGCGCGTGCCTCTATCGGGGTTCATGGGTGTGGATGGACGGCTGGGGATCACGGATGGGAGCTGCCAGGCCACGTCGGGGGAGAGGGACTGTTTGCCGCATGGCATCTGCATCAACGGGAAATGCCAGTGCACCCTCCCGTGAGTATAGACACTCGGGATGTAGAGACGACTTTTGAGGCGCCTCAAGAGTCATCTCGTCTGGGGAGAGTGATTTTTTGCCACATGGCATCTGCATCAACGGGAAATGCCAGTGCACCCTCCCGTGAGTGAATCACCTCTGTCCCACCCAGATCACCTAATCTTGAAGCATCGTGTTGCCATTATGAGGTGATCTAATGCACCAAGGCCACATCTGCCGCTCTGATCGCGGCCCCTTTGTCAGGTGTTAGGATCATCTATGCCTGCCTCGTGACCAAAGTTCCCATCCCCCACCTCCCGCTCCCCTTCCCCCTCTCCACCCTCCTCCCCTTCCCTTCCCTTCCCCTCCACCCGACACCTTCTGTTTACCCTCCCCTCTTCCTCCCCACAGCTACCAAGGTGACTTCTGCCACTCCGCTCGGCGCCCCTTCGTGCGCAAGAAGTCAACCTACGATGGCCGCTTTGTGCTGAGCGTGAGACATGTGCGCAAGGCACACGGGGTCAAGTACCCCCTCACGCCCTCCCCTGGCTCCTACGCTGCTACCACCGGCGCCTCGTGCTGAGTGCCTTCCCCCCTTTCTCTCCTCCCTTGCTCCCCGCCCCCTCGCCCTGTGTGTCCGTTCCCTCCCTCCTCTCTCCCAACAGCTATCAAGGTGACTTCTGCCGCTCCGCTCGGCGCCCCTTTGTCCGCAAGAAGTCAACCTACGACGGCCGCTTTGTGCTGAGCGTGAGACACGTGCGCAAGGCACACGGGGTCAAGTACCCTCTCACGCCCTCCCCTGGCTCCTACGCTGCTACCAACGCTGCTGCTGCTGCTGGCACGGAGGGAGGCGCGGAGGAGGAGAAGGAGAAGGAGGGCGAGGGCGCGGCGTTTTTCGAGGCTCCGTTTTTCACTGCGGGGAAGGTCAACCGTGTGGTGTGGGGCAACCTGCAGAAGGTGAGGGGGTTGTGTGTGTGTCATGCCAAGAACCCTGCACCCACCCACACCTCTTAGTACGTGCCGTTATTCACTGCAGGGAAGGTCAACCGTGTGGTGTGGGGCAATCTGCAGAAGGTGAGGGGGCTGGGCTGGGTGGGTGTTTTGCAACACATTGTGGGGAGGGGCTGAGAGGACGCAGCGTTTTTTGTTGCTGCTGGGCTGGGGCACCTGGCAGGCAGCAATCTGCTGGAGAAAGCTCTCCCTCACTCATCCCCTTGTACTTCACTTCACTCATATACAAACCCTCGCGTATTGTTGCCCTCCTGTATTGCTCTCCGTGCCTCCCATGGCAGGGCAAGCTGATGGAGCTGGAGCCGATGGTGTCTCAGGCGCTGCTGGAGCATCTGCCAGGCAGCGACCTGCTGCAGAACGCGCTCTTCAATTCGTGCGCCATCGTGGGCAACTCGGGCTTTAACCTGCTGTTTAGGGACGGGCAACTGATCGACAGCCATGACGCCGTATTCCGACTCTTTGAGTGAGTGACCTTTTGAGTGAGTGACCTTTTGAGTGAGTGACCTTTTGAGTGAGTGACCTTTTGAGTGAGTGACCTTTTGAGTGAGTGACCTTTTGAGTGAGTGGGTGTGGGACGATCTTACAGCGAGTAGAAGGATTTTCACAGTGCCTTGTGGAATGATGTACAAGTTGACTCACAAGTAAGGCATCTCGGGCTTAAACCTGCTCTTCCGCGACGGGCAACTGACGACAGCCATGACGCCGTGTTCCGACTCTTTGAGTGAGTGGAGTGGAATGACAAGACAACAGTGAATCGAAGGGCTTTCACTGTGGCTTGTGGAGTGGCGTCAGGAAGGCAACTCGGGATTCAACCTGCTCTTCCGGGATGGGCACCTGATCGACAGCCACGATGTTGTGTTCCGACTCTTTGAGTGAGTGGAGTGGAATGACCCCAGTCAGTAAAAGGACTTCCATTGTGACTTAGACTGTGAAAAGACGCATGATGTGACAACCTTTCACCGAGAAGCCCCAAAAAGAAAAAGAACGAAAGAAAACAAATGATGTGACATCCTAGGCAGTTCGGTCTGGCTTCGACCTGGTCTTCAGGGACGGGCACGTGATGATCATCAGCCATGCTCTCGTGTTCCGATTGTTTAAGCGGAATGATTTCTGAGTGACTGAAATGACCCCACTCTGCTTCCCCCCACCTTCCTTTCTCCCCTTCCGCCCCTCCCCAACCCTTCAGTGGTCCCACTGTGGCGCGCAGTGGAGAGGGCGCAGCAGCAGTGGCGGTGGATTTCATGGCGTTTGTGGAGCGAAGGGCCACCATGCGAGTCGTGGATGAGGACGAAAAGCAGTGCTCTCATCAACCCCTCCCTCCTCATCCACTCCTCTCCCTCCTCCCTCCTCCGTCCTTCCCCCTCCCTCTTTTCCCCTCCCTCTTTCCCCCGCCCTCCTCCCTACCCTTCTTCTCCTGTCCTCCTCCCTCTTTCCTCCGTTCTCCATCTTCCCTCCCCCCCACCCCTCCTCCCCAACCCTTCAGCGGCCCCACTGTGGCGCGCAGTGGAGAGGGAGCAGCAGCAGTGGCGGTCGATTTCACGGCGTTTGTGGGGCGACGGGCCACCATGCGAGTGGTGGATGAGGACACCATCGGGTTCAGCGAGGGGGGCGAAATCACCCTCATGAACGTCGCCTCTAAAAAGGGCTTCTACGGACATTTCCAGGTATGCCGTACAACCTGAGGTGAGAAGAGAGGCTGTTCTGTTCCCTTAGCAACTGTTCCCGTGTTTCACAGCGCTTGTGGAGTGTGAAGGTCCACCATGCGAGTGGTGGATGAGGACACCATCGGATTCAGGTATGGCGTACCAACCTGTGGGGAGAGGCTGTCCAGGTATACCGTGCCACCATGCGGGTCGTGGATGAGGACACAATCGGGTTCAGCGAGGGGGGTGAAATCACCCTCATGAATGTCGCCTCTAAGAAGGGCTTCTACGGGCATTTCCAGGTATGCTGTGAGCTGACTTATAGGTCGAATCAAAAGTTATTTGAATATGGTCGGGTTCAGCGAGGGGGGTGAAATCACCCTCATGAACGTCGCCTCCAAGAAGGGCTACTACGGGCATTTCCAGGCACGCTGTGCTGTGAGCTGGCTTATGAGTCGATCCCAAAGTCATCCGAACACCGTTGGGTGCAGCGAGGGAGGCGAAATCACCCTGATGAACGTCGCCCACAAAAAGGGCTACTACGGGCATTTCCAGGTATGCTGTTATGCCAGGCCAGCTTAGGCGCCACGGGTGCAGGTATGCCATACAACCCGAGCCGAGGCAGTTCCTTTTTGAATGGATCCGCGTTCGACTGTGTGTTTGCCTCTATGCCACCGAGTATGAGTATCTTATGGTTTTCCTGTTTGCTTCTCAGGCATGTAAGAATCTGGTTCCTCGCCTTACTCGTCCTTCCTCCCCCCCTCTCCTCCCCCCCGCCATCAGCTCCTGAACGAGCAACCAGACGCCAAGTCGTTCCTCTTCGACCCCGAATTCTCCACACACGTCACCGACAACATCGGCCCCATGTCCTCCCTCCCCTGTCCCATGCCGCCCCCCCGCTCCCCCCCCCGCCTCTCCCCTCACACTCCAGTTCCTGAAAGAGCAACCAGATGCCAAGTCCTTCCTGTTCGACCCCGAGTTTTCCACCCATGTCACTGACAACATCGGTTCCATGCCCTCCCCCCTCGCCATGACGCTCTTCCTCGCTCTCCAGGTCAGCCCCTCTGCTGCTTCTTTGCTCCTCTTCTTGCCCCACTCTTCTTGCTCGTGTATCCTCCCCCTCCCCCCCCCCCCCTCCCCCCCCCCCCCCCCATACCCTCCCCCCTCGCTATGACGCTCTTCCTCGCACTCCAGGTCAGCCCCCTCTGCCTCTGTGCTCCTCTTTTGCCGCTCACCATGATGACCTTTGAGTCGACTCAAAAGTCAGACCATTAGCAGGTTGCATCCCTTGTTGCCAGTGCCTGTGCTCCTCTCTACAACCTTTGCATCCGTCCCTCTTGGAATCTTGGGTCGGGATATCTTTATACTTCCCTAGAAACCACGCATTACTGAACTGCTGTTTACCCTATTCCACTTGAGCAAACCCTTCCATCCCAAACACCTCCTAACTCCCTTTTTCTCCTTTTCTCCCTTTTTCTCCCTTTTTCTCTCTCTCCCTTCCCCCGCTCCCTCCTGCCCCCCCTCCCCCCCACCCCCACATCCCCAGAAATGTGCGTCTCTGGACGTGTTTGGGGTGCACTGGCGGCCAGGATACGGAGTGCCAGAGCTGTCAGCAGCTTCTCTATGCCTAGTTTCGTCCCTGTCCCCTCCCTCTTCCGCCCTCCCCTTTACAACTCCAGAAATGTGCGTCACTGGACGTGTTTGGGGTGCACTGGCGGCCAGGATACGGAGTGCCAGAGCTGTACTATAGAGAGACGGACTCTGACGCGGATGTGGTGTACCAGCAGCCAGCCGACCTGCAGCTAGTGGAGGTTAGTGTGGGGGAGAGTGCTAAAGCAGTAACTGGGTGGAAGGATAGGATACGGAGTGCCAGAGCTGTACTATAGAGAGACAGACTCTGACGCGGATGTGGTGTACCAGCAGCCAGCAGACCTGCAGCTAATCGAGGTGAGAGTGGGGAAAGTTCATAACTGTTGCAGTATGCACTGGCTGGGTGGACAGGCACTTCAAAAGGGAATGAATGAGGAGAAGAAACTAGGGGTATGTGGTGTACCAGCAGCCAGCCGACCTGCAGCTAGTCGAGGTGAGTATGGGGATAGAGTGCCAAAGCAGTCACTGGGTGGAAAGGTCGCGCATCGACTTGAAAAGAAAAACATCCAGAAACCAAAGACTGGCAAAGGGGAAAAGGGCATTAGTGATGATTGTATCAGTAGCCAGCAGACCTGCGGCTATTCGACATGAGAGGGGGAAGAGCACAAAGAAGGCACCGGATGGGTGGAAGAAACGCACGCACATAATGAGTAGGCGGATTGAGTGGTGGTTGGGGCCTGGGGCACCCCTGTGAAACAGGTTGTGAAAGCGAAATTTGGAAAGTTATCCCCGTTCCCTGCCCTCCCAACCACCCATTTCCCCCTCACCCTACTCACCCCCTTCCACCCACTCTTCTCCATCACTCACCTCTCTCTTCCCTCACTCTCCTTTCTTTTCGCTCACTCTCCTTTCCTTTCGCTCACTCTCCTTTCTTTTCGCTCACTCTCCTTTCTTTTCGCTCACTCTCCTTTCTTTTCGCTCACTCTCCTTTCTTTTCGCTCACTCTCCTTTCTTTTCGCTCACTCTCCTTTCTTTTCACTCACTCTCCTTTCTTTTCGCTCGCTCTCCTTTCTTTTCGCTCACTCTCCTTTCTTTTCGCTCGCTCTCCTTTCTTTTCGCTCACTCTCCTTTCTTTTCGCTCACTCTCCTTTCTTTTCGCTCGCTCTCCTTTCTTTTCGCTCACTCTCCTCACACCCCTTCCCTGCAGACCCTTGCACGCCTGAACCTTGTTGGGCTGGGCCAGCCCTGTGTGATTGGCTGTGAGGCCGAGACGCGCATTCGCTGCGACTCATGCTCTGCTGGCAGCTCCTGCGCCTGCGGCCGCCACAACCCGCTGCCCGTCGCGCTGCCCGGGTTCTGCCACCTGCCCGGAAACTACACGTGCTTCTTCCGATGTGACGGGAAGTGGGGCAACACATGCCAGGTAGGAACAATAGCGACGAGAGAAGGAAGTTCATGGGTTGAGAGAGTGTGCATGGGTTGAGAGAGTGTGCATGGGTTGAGAGAGTGTGCATGGGTTGAGAGAGAGTGCATGGGTGGGCCTGGCAGCAGTCTCTGCCCGGACGACTTTGACATTACCGTGCGGCAGTGCTCCACGCCAGCAGAGTTTTAGTCGACTCAAAATCCTGCTCTCCTGCCCAGGCCCTACGATATCAGGAATTTTTCCCAGAAATTCCTGATTTTCAGCCTAGTTTTGTGTACCTACACTGAATTTTCAGTGTTGAGATTTTTGTGACACTGATTTTTTCAGCCTTTACTTCATAGCTAACACTGATGTTTCAGACTTTTATCGAAGTGTACACTGAATGCACATTCCGAATCCTTCCCGTAAAACACCCAAGACAATAAGTCACTAACATTTCTACATAACAAAATCTTGTGTAAGAAATACTAATCGTTGACTCGATGAACTGGCTTAGTGGTTGGCGAAGCAGATACCGAATGGTTAGGTTTCCGGTTTCGAATCCCTCTACCACCATGTTCGTAAAGGCTACTCTCTTGCACAATTGCTCGATGTGATTGAAAATTCAGGCTTTTGTTTTCCGGAACCCTGAAAATTCAGGCTTTTTTTTTTAGGAACCCTGAAAATTCAGGCTTTTTTTCACAGGGACCCTGATGCATCAACGTCCCTAAAAGTGAATCTGAGGGCCTGCTCCTGCCCCTTTGCTTCCCCCCCACAGGGTGGGCCTGGCAGCAGCCTCTGCCCGGACGACTTTGACATCACCGGGCGGCAGTGCTCCACGCCTGCAGATACGCCTCCCCCAGAAGAGGCCCCGTGGTGGGCGCGGCGCGGGTCGATGCGCGAGTTTGACTCCAAGTTTGAGCGCGCGTACCGACAGCTGCGGAAGCAGAAGATCCGAGAGGCCAAGGAGAGGGCCAGGACTGCCAGGGCTGCGCGGCTGAAGAAGAGAGAGGAGAGAAGCATGCGCCAGCATGGGAATGAAGCCAGGTGAAGGCATTTTGTTGCAGGTGTTTTTTAGAGGATTCTGACAAAAACACCTGCAATGGAGTGCCAGGGTTGCCCGGCTGGAGAAAAGAGGAGAAGGATGCGTCAGCATGCTAATGAGGCCACGTGAAGGGCTGTGGAAATTGTGACCTGGAGTTAGGCAGTGGATTGTTTGGCAAGGGCAAAATTTGTACGAAGGAGATGACTGGTGCAGAGATTGTGGGATTCTTCTGTGGCATTACCGATTGGAGTAGACATTGAGGGGCAAGTGCATTAGTGCGCATGGTGGAAATGCTCTGCTGCTTATTAGGAAGTGTGTCAGCAATATAGGAACAGATAGCATTTGACATGCATCCGAATATGATGTCAATGGTGTAACTGATGAATGAGCAAATGAAAGGCTTCTAGGAATTGCATGTACTTTTCTTAGTCTGCTAATCCTTGGGTTATCAATGTACCTGCATTCTGAGCTGTTTGAATATCGTATGTGACGTCTTAGTACTCTGCGCGGTACAACGAATCAGTCAATGGCGGCCCGATTTGCAGCTAGTCCCGCTAAACGACAAGCTCTTGGCATGGTTGGTGGATGACTGAATGCTGTTGGCGCGTTTGTGTGGGGGTGGTCTGGAGGGTCTGCATCTGCAACACCCACCAATCGAATTCACTTGCGGCTCCCCCCGATTCCCCAATGCGGACTGGATTTCCCCGCCCCGCTAATGCACAGGCAGGAAACACTGTAGAGACGGGGAGCTCGCATTACTGTACAACCAAACGCATTGCTGGCTTTTACTGGTCAGTTCTCGTTAGGACGGTCGTTCCGCAGGAAGGCGCCGCCGCCGTATTGCGAGGCGCCTAAGAGCGTGTTGCGAGCTTGCGATTGGTTAAGGCGAGACGCCAGGAGCAAAACGACACATGTGATTCTCACACCAAGAACAGCCGTCGCCGTCGATTTCGCTAGTGGGGCCGACAACATTGTCTTTAGTACGGTGCAGAGTGGTCTGACGCGTTTTTTTAAGTTTATGCTAGTTTCTCGAAGACGAATGTCGGTCGTCGCGCCCAAACCTCTCCCACCCGTTCCCCGCCCGCCCCACAAACACCCCCCCTATCCAACCCCAACCCCCTCCACCTCTGCAGATTACCAAATTATACCAGGGCCTAAACAGTATTGTATTCCTATCGCTACTATTTTCTAGTATTTTTTGCTCAAACAGTGGCGTGGTGGTGAGGCGAGGCAGCTTGAAGCAACTAACGACGACGTCTTGATATTATAAGGTTCCTCCTCAGCCTCCGCCATTTATATGAAGCAACTAGCGCCGCCGGTCCTACTAATAATGCGAGTGCTTGGGCGGTAGTAATCCGTTTCGTCCCGTCGATCGTCTCACTCCTCACCTCACCACCCTGCAGACAACTAGACCCGTCGAGTCTCGTAGCCCGCTGCATGTTGCTAGTAATCGATCCCTCTCCTCAAACGGAAGCCACGTGGCAATACCAAAAGGCGAGCGTGAGCCGCGCAATGCACTAGCTTTCGCCAGCTCCCACCACCTCGTGTCGTGTCAGAAGAGGAAACTTTGCCGAATTAGGCTGTCCCTTGGTCGCCATAATTTTCTTTTGCGCATTCCCAGGATTTTAGCCTCACCGCTTTATCCCGCATCGGTGTTGCAGAAGATTTTGTTCCTCTGCGTCTCGATTCGAATCGCCTACTAGAAGCGATGAAATCGTACACGTCGCGCGACACTCTCTCGTCGCACGGGTCGTCGTCACCGCCGCACGTTTCCAGCCTCGGGTCGCTCGTGTCGCACGGATGGGCCATACTTGGTCTTAAACGAAGCAGTTCTTATAGCGAACGATTTACTGGCAGCGGCGCACCTTATTGGTTCAGCTCCGACTTTACTCGTTTTAGTCTCATTGCGATTAACGCGTGCCTCATCATCCTCGTTATAAGCGAAGTCTCACCGTATTGTGCGCGTCCCTGGGGAGGGGACGAAGCGCGCGGGCTCCCCCAAGCCGCGTCCGCGGAGGATTCGGGGAAACTTGCGCGAATGCAGGGATTGCGGCAGGCACTCCCGCTCTTGGGACTCGATAGCGGCGCGCGCTTGCGGTAAGCGCGTGGAGGGGACGGTCAGGGGAAGGGGGGCTGGCGGGCTCGCGGAGTTGCGGTATTAATACCGCGTTGAGGGTAAAATGAGTCGTTTTTTTAGTCGACTCAAAACAGGGTATAGTGAGGGTAAACCTAGGTTATCCCTGCGTCTTAATGCGTGCATTTTCCTTAATTTCCCATTGTGCCCTTTCTGCTCCCCCTCTCCTCCCAATGGCCATGCAGGCCAGGAGATTCAGGTGCTTCAGGTGGTTCAAGTGGTTTTTCAGGTGGCACAACAGAGGAGCACGTGTGCTGGACGTCATCAGGAGGTGGGTGCTTGTTGGCGGATGGCATGCTTTGGCTGTAGTGACAATGGCATGCTTTGGCTGTAGTGACGATGTCATGCTTTGGCTGTAGTGACAATGGCATGCTTTGGCTGTAGTGACAATGGCATGATTATACATTTTCCGCTAGTGAGTGAGCCTAAACTATCTTCAAGCTTTTAAGTGTTTAGCCAAGCAGCACGGGCTGCTTGGGTAAGAGTGTCAGAAACACCCCCTCTCTCTATCCCCATTCCTCCCACACCACCCCATCCACGCCCTCCTCCCTCCCATCCCATCCCCTCCCTCTCCCCCCCACACACAAACTAACATGCTTGATCAGGAGTGGTATTTCACGGCCCTGTCTGTCTTGCTGCCTGCTTGCTCGCGTATAAGCACTACCAGGCCCTCACACACTCCCCCACCCCTCCCCACCCCTCCCCACCCCACCCCACCCTCCTCTCACCCTCCACGCAGACTACGAGGCCCCATCGGGCGTGGTGATTCACGGTCGTGGCTGTTCTTCCTCGCATCCCGTCCCACCCCTCTCCACCCATCTTTATTACCTGCCTTTCACACATACAGACTACGAGGCCCCATCAGGCGTGGTGATCCACGGTCGTGGCTGTTCTTCCTCGCATCCCGTCCCACCCCTCTCCACCCATCCTTATGACCCGCCTTTCCCACACACAGACTACGATGCCCCATCAGGCGTGGTGATCGACGGTCGTGGCTGCTGCTCCTGCCTGGTCTCCATCCCACCCTTCTCCACCCAACCCAACCCCTCTTCCTCCACACATACAGACTACGAGGCCCCATCAGGTGTGGTGATTCATGGCCCAGGCTGCTCTGCCTGCCTGCACTGACTGCTCGCATTAAGCATCATGCATCCCGTCCCTGCCTCTCCCCACTCTTCCTTCCTCGTTTCCATCCGCGCGCCCGCCCACTAGATTTTTCCCCTCCCTCTCTTCCATCCCTCTCCCCCATCCCTCTTTCCCCTCCCCCCCACCAATCACAGAGTACGAGTCCCCATCAGGGGTAATCATTCACGGCTCTGGCTGCTCTGCCTGCCTGCGAGGGCAGCGCTGCTCCTTCCTCGTCTCCATCCGCCCGCCCGCCCACTGGATAGCGCCGGAGCAAGCAGACAAGGGCAGCAGCAGAAAGCACACGTGGTGGCAGAGGGATCTCTCTCTGCTGCTCCGCGGCCCAGCGCTCGCCCACGGGGACGTGCGGTGCCTTGACCCCCCGTCTTGTACGGAGCTGTCGGTTTCATACCGTGTGTGGGACATTGGCGAATACTGGTGAGTGTGAAATGCTTATGCTCAAGGGAGAAGCGCAGTGGAGAGGCAAGGGCAGCAGCAGCAAGCACACGTGGTGGCAAAGGGATCTCTCTCTCTGCTGCTCCGCGGGCCAGCGCTCGCCCATGGGGACGTGCGGTGTGTCGACCCGCCCCACTGCCTGGACTTATCCGTTTCGTACCGTGTGTGGGACATTGGGGAATACTGGTGAGTGGTGGTAGCAAACGTGGTGGCTCTGGCTTGTGGCAGAGGGATCTCTCGTTTCTCCTCCGCGGCCCAGCGCTCGCCCACGGGGACGTGCGGTGCCTTGACCCTCCTTCCTGCCTGGACTTATCGGTGTCCTACCGTGTGTGGGACATTGGCGAGTACTGCTGAGTGCCCTGCTGCTGAGTGTATGGTGACTGTGGGAGGCTGGGCACTGGGTGGTGGCAGAGGCAGCAAGGGAGAAGCGCAAGGGGAGAGGCAAGGGCAGCAGCAAGCACACGTGGTGGCAGAGGGATCTCTCTCTGCTCCTCCGCGGCCCAGCTCAAATTCTCCACAGCTTGTGGAGCGCCTCAAAAGTCGTTCCCCTGCCCTCCCCCGCCCCACCCCCACACCCCCCTCTCCTCAGGGCTACCCTTAACGTGGGCTGTGCTAATCTCAACTTCTCAGCAGCTTCCTTGCATCATCTGCACTCCACGCAGCAAAACACCCTCACTTCCTGGCCAATCACCATCCACCCTCGCTTCCGACCCAACTCCCCGAGCCTACCTGCCGAACCTCTGCATCGAGCCTCTGATTCTCCAAACCTGGGCCCCAGGCTCGGCAGCTCGCCTCTCCGAACCTCGCTGTTGGAGTCGCCGCCGGCAGGCTTTCCCCGGAGCTTGGAAGAGGAGAGGAAGCTTCCTGAGAGCCCTTGTGCTGCTGCGACGGTTCCAGGAAGATGGGTGAAGGACGAGGGAGGAGAGGGGTACAGGTGAGCCTTATACATTTTTCGCATGTTTCCTTCATGCCTCTTAAGAAAGGGAGGGGATGGTGGCGGTAGTGGTGGTGGTGGTGGAGGGAGGAGAGGGGTACAGGTGAGCCTCATAAGAATGAACTGTTTTCCATCTTTCCTCCACCCTCCCTCTTCCCCTCCCCCAGAAGAATACATTTGATTTGACGTCTTTTTGCTTTCTCTTCTTCTATTTTCCCCCTCGCATCCCCCCTCTCACAACCCTTCTCTTGCATTCCCTCTTGTCCCTACCCCCATCCCCCCTCGCCCACCTCCTCCCCCTTCCCCCTCCTCCTTCCACCCTCAGATAGACCTTATTTCCCTGTTCGTCTAAGGAGCTGACTTTTGAGTCGACTCAAAAGTCACCTCAGATAGACCTTTCCCTGTTCGCCTAAGGAGCTTTTTTTTTTATATCTTTCCCTTCCGCATCTCCCCCCATCCCCTCCCCCCCCCCCCCAGATGGTCCTTCCCCTGCTCGCCTAAGGGGCTCCCCCCCTCTCAGTGCATCTATTTTGAGTCGAATCAGAAATCCTTCCCACTCTCCCCCTCCTCCGTTCCCCCCCTCCTCCGTTACCCGTCTCCCCTTTTCAGATGGTCCTTCTTCCCTTGCTCGCCTAAGGAGCTCCCGCCCTCTCAGTGGATCTCAGCCCTTGATCGCCGCGGCATCCAGGAGATCTCGATCGTTGGCGATTCGCATCAACGGTTCCTGACAGCCCACCTGTTCTTCCTTCTCACGGGGGGGGATATGAATGAGATAGAAAAGGGGCGTACTGTTAATGAGACTCGGGTGTACATCGCGAGGGATGAGATGAATAGAACTCTGAAGATCAACTTTTACTGGATTGCTGGAGTCTACGAGGACTGGGAGAACGGGTGCAGGTGAGCTTTAGTGTTTGAATTTCATATTTGAATTACATGTCCAATTGCTGGATTTTACGAGGACTGGGAGAATGGGTGCAGGTGAGAGAGATTTCAGTGCTTTTTGTTTTTTTTTTTGCACGACTGCATGACTGCATGACTGCATGACTGCATGACTGGTGAAATCTGGTGCGTGATGGATGGATGAAGTTCCATGGACTAGTGTGGTTGAAGGTGAGAGTGTGGTTGAAAGGTGAGAGTGGGGTTGAAGGTGAGAGTGTGGATGAAAGGTGAGAGTGTGGATGAAAGGTGAGAGTGTGGATGAAAGGTGAGAGGATGGGATGGACAAAGCAAGAGCATGGCTGCTGGTAAGAGTATGGCTGCTTGTGAGAGTGAAAGCCTAACATTATTCTATCAAGATTTTGTCCTAGGCATCTCGAAAGTCAAGCTCTGGTCCTTGGGAGCTTTATACACTCTCTCCTCGTTTTTGTAAGAGGGTGAAAATCAGATTTACAATGTCACGTCTGGATTCTTGGGAGCTTCATACACCTCCCCTCTACTCCCCCCTTCCCACCAGCCACCCACGCACTCTCAACCGCACTGGACCGTTCCCGACCATCTCACCCACCGCTGATGTCACTCTCTTCGAAGCTGGTTATTGGGCGGCCGTCTTTTGCCGAGAACCTCTTAAAGCCCTGCACACCCACCTGCAAAAATTTCTCCGGTGGGCTGTTTCCACAGCTACCCCTGGGAAAGGCAGGGTGGTTTTCCGCACTATCCCGTCTTTTCCCCTTAGGGGGGATTGGTGTAACAGCTGGCATCCCGGGCCGAGTTCGAACCGAGCCGGCATGGCGATTAACGCTTTAATGAAGCACCTTGTAAGGGGTATGGATGGAAATGAGGAACAAGGGGGAAGAGAAGGGCAGGAAGCAGATGCATGTGAAGCAGATCTAGACTGCAGCTTGCAGCAATTGCCAGAGGAGAAAGGGGAGGAGCCTGGTGGGGAAGGAGGAGGGCTGCCAGCATCAGCAACAGCATCAGAGCCACCTGCATCATCATCATCAGCAGCAGCAGCAGCAGCACCATCAGCAAAGCCTGCAGGAGCAGCATCTCAGCCGTCGATCTTGGATCTATGGATGGTGGACGGCCCTCGTTACACGGACACAGGTCGCCCCTTCGATCACCATTACTCAGCTCTCGTGCATGCAGGGCCAGGGAAGGGGCAACCTTTGGTGGTGAAGGGGGATGTGGGGGAGGCGCATGTGCGAGCCCTGATGCACTACCTGCTGCATGTGATGCGATGAGTCGAGCGAGGAATCAAGCAAACCAGCGATCACCACTGCCGCTGGCAAACCAACCAACTAACCCCTTAGCTGTTCCATGCTCTGTCTGTAGTTCACTGTTGAGGCGCCTCAAAAGTCGTCCATGCTCTGTAGTTCTGCGAACTCCGCAGGGGGCTCCCACGACCACCACTACTCGGCTTTTGAGACGTCTCAAGCTTCACAGGGGGCTCCCCCGACCACCACTACTCAGCTCTTGTGCGTGCAGGGCCAGGGAAGGGGCAACCGCAGGTTGCGAAGGGTGATGTGGGGGAGGCGCATGTGAGAGTGCTCATCAGGGCATATTTTATCAGTGTAATTCACACTGCTATACTGATTTATAAGGGTGAAATTTAGGGCCTGCACTGATGTGTTTGGGTAATTTTTTGGCGGATTAGTGTTGCACTGATATGTCAGTGTAACGATTTAGGCCACACTGATGCTCTGGGGTAATATTTCCCTTAGCGAAGATTACCCTGAAGTGAAAAGTGAAGAGCGTATAGAGAGCCCCCCCCCCCCCCCCCCCCCCCATGCCACCCCTTCATGAAACTCAACTTATCGAGACGAAGTTTCATGGAAATTTCGTCCCGATACACCCAATTTCGTAATGATGCACTACAACGCCAGCACGTGAGTACTGACAACCAGGGTCCTCGCTAGGATTCAAAGGTGCCGCCTGATCCATCAGCTTTTTCGTTTTTTTCAGTCTGACGCGTCAGTTTTTTTTACCAAGGCCTGTTTGACCAATCAAAGTAGAATCTCTCGTTTATTGTTACAACAAGTGGGACCGACAAGTAGATTCATTCTTGACCTGCCACGCCAAATTCGGCTTGTCAGTGCATTTTCAACCTATCACAGTAAAGATCATGCAGATTCGACCTATCACAGTAGAGAAATATGCAAATTAGATCGATCACGCCAGAGATTCGTTTGTCACAGCAGATTCTATCGCAAATCACCCTGGACTAACATGTTTCAGTTTCAGATGGAGCACACAACTGCCTACAGTACAATCAGTGTAAAAAAAATACATACACTGATGCTTCTGGGTAAAATTTTCAAAACTTCAAGTTACACTGATCCATCAGTGCAACAAAAAAGGACACACTACTCAAAAGGGTTTTGAAAATGACTACACTGCTAATCATGAGTAGCGAAAATCCAAAAATAGGCCTTGGTGCTCATGCACTATCTGTCAGAATCCCAACCACTTAGGGTACATTCCGCTGTGGACACTGTCCCAATCGATGTGTCCCAATCGAGTGTACCGCTCCGAACCGAACTAAACCAGAGACGCGAAAATTTCGAAACGATGGTGCAATTTGGTGTAATACGATGCAGTGCGGTAGAAACGATTGGGACACTTTCGATTGGGACATGTCCAGCGCGGAATGTACCCTTAGACCATTGGGATAAAAAAACTGGTTAAGTAGCGGGTCAGTGCGCCCATAACCCCCTATGACAACGAGCCTGTAACCCTTCCCTAGGATCAATCGGGGATCATCAGTGGACCTCTGACACTACCTGCTGCATGTGATGCGACGAAAGTATGTGTATTGCGAAATATTAACTATAACACATGAGATCTCCACTGTATGCATAAAACAAGTTTGAGTCACGATAACTCAAAGTCATTCACTACAAATGTTGGGCTGAGCTTATAACTTCCAGCCTAGGCTACAGATGTTGAGTTGGACATTCGGATGACCAGTACAGACGAGCAGGTAAGCAGTATCAGGGAGGAAATAGTCACCCATAGTACCGTCATCGCCCGGATATAAGACAGTGTTGAATAGTAGACAGGGGTTGTCTACTATACGGGTGTCTCTTATAAACAGGCTAGCCTTTTTATACGACACCTATTTGTGTGTACGAGTTAAGACATATATGTCTTATAATCAGAACCGGGGTTTAGGGGTTTTCTTATAAACAGGGGGTGTCTTCTAAACGAGCCTTCTTTACTTTAGGGGGGTACATGCATACATTCATGAATCTCTACTTCTACCTAACCCCCCTCAGTCACCGCCTCCTCGCCTGCGCTAACAACAGGCTCTACACCCAGGTCTGGCACTCGCCAGGCATGCCTAGCCGTCTCCCTAGGCTCGATCATGCGGCCAGCCTCGGCCGCCGCCCCGCGGTAGTTGGGGGTCTCCTGGTACAGCACCTCCAGGCCGGTTGCCACTGCCACCTCCCGCACGCCCTCCGCCTGCATCGCCTCCTCCTCCTCCTCCTCCTCCTCCTCCTCCTCCTCTGGAGCCCGACCGAACAGGCGCGTGTTGTCGCCTGTGGTCCCCCCGAGGGACATGTCCGCGGAGACATCAGTGGTGCTCCTGGCGCGCAGGTGAGACATCACCAGGTGGTTCTCCGTTCCGTCCAGCTTGCTTGAGATCCCACAGTGGCGGAACGCGTCGATGATGATCTGCTTGGGGACTTGATCCCAAGCCTCCGCGATCCACTGCAGCACCACGGGGTGGGGCGGCCTCCGCAGGTTTCCTGCGGGTGGGTTTGAGGACGGGGCAGCGAGATGTTAGAGACACGGACATGAAGGAGCATGTTTAAGACAAGGACAGGAAACAGAATAGGAATAATACCATAAATGAAGGACCAACTCACCCTTATTCGTCTTCAGGTGAATCCCCTCACGCATGAACCACCTGGCGTAGCGCGCTCGCACAGCAGCCTTGAAGCACCGGTTGATTGAGACGTCCAGGGGTTGAATCTGGCTCGTACAACCCGCTGGGATGACTGCAGGGGTGATGCTGTGCGTGCGGTACGACTGAAGCATGGTCTGGGTGATGTGACCGCGGTAGGAGTCCAACACCAGCATCGCACGCCTCGCGTTCTGGCCGCGCTGGGGGTTCAGATGGGGCAGCACCTCCTTGGACAGCCAGGTCTGCACAGCGCTCTCGTCCATCCACCCGTTGTCCTGTGCTTGGACCACGATTCCTGCCAGGCACACAAGGGACAGACGGGCTTCAGCACAGTGGGGCACGCTCATCAGGCAGTCGCACGGTTGAATTCATTACGCTTACCTTCCGGAATCTCACAGTTGGGGACGTTCTTCATCTTGAACCACACCCACGGCCGCAGCTTCTCCCCGGATGCAGTGCACGCGAGCATCACCGTCAAGCGCATTTTCTGGTAGCATGCAGTGCGGATTGAGACCGAGCGCGCGCCGCGGTGCTCGATCGTCCGTTCGGCTGGCATCTCCACGAATAGTGGAGTCTGGTCCGCGTTGATGATTCGGGCCAGGTCGATGTTGTGCCGCGCCCTGTTGATGCGCACGAACTTCCAGAAGGACTCGCAGTCCTTCGCGCACTCTGCAAACGGTACACGCGTAACGGAAACACGGGATGGTTAGACACTGGGTGAGGGACATGCATTCAATAGCCCGCGCGCGACACGAATTCCTTCAACACGCACCTGCCGACAGTCGTTGGCCGACCTTGGTCTTCACCCGCATCACCAGGTTCCAGCGGTCACGGAAACGCTGGCTCCAGTGAGAGCTCGCGTTCCAGTTCTTGCCGGCGTGATGCTTCTTCATCCACTCGCGGCTCCACTTCTGGGTGTCCTTCACCGAGATGGCCACCCCGTTAGCGCGCTGAAGGCAGATGTAGCGGTACAACGCTGCCTCCATGTCGGGGTAGTGTGAGTGGCGCCCCCCCCCGTGCATCCGCTTGCGGCAGTTAGCCGCGCCCTTGTAGAC